GAAAGATTGTCAGCCACCTGTGTTGCTCATTAAGAAGAGATGATCACTCTTCATTATTTCTTCCCTGATTTCTGTAGACCTTTTTAATAAAAAAATGGATCTCTTGGTTTTAAATATTTTGCACATACTTAATCTTTTTAGACATGTATTTGTGCTCACTGTGTGTGCTCAGTCGCTCAGTTGTGTCTGACTCCTTGTGGCCCCATGGACTGTAACCCTCCAGGCTCCTCTGCCCATGGAATTTTCCAATTAAGAATTCTGGAGTGAGTTGCCATTTCCTACTCCAGTGGATCTTCTTGACCCAGGGATCCAACCTGCATCTCTTGTGTCTCCTGCACTGATAGGCAGATTCTTTACCACTAGAGCCACCTGGTTAGACATTATTTACATATATTCCTTTATTACAAATCTAAGATACTTAAGAAGACTTCAAGTTGTGGAGAAACAACTTGTGGAGATTGAAATGTTCAATCTCATTTTCACACCACAAGGGAATACTTTGCATAATTTAGTGAGTTTCAAAACTGTAAGAAGGATGATGCCAGGCTTCTGAAAGAATATAAACTTTCTCTGAAATATTTCCCCAATAACTCTCTTTGGAGAGGAAAACTAATACATAATTAGGAAATAACATGTCTACTGTGGGTTATGCATACCATTTAAGATTATGAAGCAGATAATGCCCTAGAAAAGTATGTTTATAGAAAACTTAAATAAACACCTTCAATGTAATCTTGGTATCTTAGTAGTACTGGGAAAGCAATGTACGAGTTGAGACACCGTGTGACCATGAATTGGCATCATTCCTTGCAGGAGATGTCTTCTAGAATTTAATAGCACTCTCTGCTAAGAAGTCCAATCTGCTGCAGGGTTTTGAGTAATTCCCAAAAGCTTCTAAGAAAGACCCCCCCAAATGCAAGATAATCCTAAACTGAACTCACCAGTTAAGGTGACTCAAAAGCACAAAGATAACTTTCAGTAAGCTGAACTCTCAAAAGACCAAAGGGAAAGAGGAATCTCTGGCTTTTGAATGTGGGCACCCCCTGGAGTTTGTACACTTGAAGGAACTCTCTAGAGACTCTGTCAAATTCAGGCGACAACCACTTAACTTTTTTCCGGATCCTAAATTATTTAGACAACACTGTCTATTAATCACTTAATCCTCTATACTTGCTTCTGGTCCCAGAGAGAAATTGCTCAGAAAAATGTTTATTAATCTGAGTCATCTATATGGGCTATTTTTAAACTATCATATTTGGTTTTGCAGTCCATTCCATTGATAAGCATTATTTCTCATCCCCATTTCTATTTTTTGGAGGAAAAATTGTTTCATTGGTATTCATAAAAAATTATGTATATTTTTCTCTATACATTTTTCTCTATTAATAGGAAAATAATGTTCAATCTTACTCTGTAAACTTTGCACACTCAAGATTTGCAACTCCTCTCATCCTTTTTTTCCCTTACTTTCAACAAAATGAGTAACTACTTATTTATTTCTGGCCAGATTTCATTTGCTGTAGTATGCTTTCAGCTGCATTCTGGTGTGAGACCATCTTCACTATCTTTTTTAATTGGATGCAAATTTAAAGTTACTTGATTCAGTGCCTTAGCTTCCATTTGATATTATAATATCAAATGTTTTATTATGTTAGTCACTAGAGCAATTAGAGCAAAATGCTAATGATGATGGTACCAGAATAGCATAGCATATTTGCCACATGCTGAATTTTTTAAAAAACAAATATAGAATATATTGGCTGTTTGAAAGAACAGCAGGCATAAAATTATCACTGTATATTAGAAAATATATTCAACAGTTTCTGATATTTTGAAGTTAATGAACACACACAAATGAGAAATTGTTAAATTCAGATAGTGCTTATTATAGTCCTTTTGATTCATTTTTCAAAATGTGTCCTTCAATAACTAGTCCATCTGTTTATGCTCAGTCATGTCCAACTCTTTGCAACCCCATGATTGTAGCTTTCTAGGTTCCTCTGTCCATGGGATTTCCCAGGCAAGAGTACTGGAGTGGGCTGCTATTTCCTTCCCCAGGGACCCAACCCAGGTATCTAACCTTCATCTCTTGCATCTCCTGGCAGGCAGATTCTTTACCATTGTGCCACCTGAGAAGCCACTTCAATAACTATTAATAGTCTAACCATTATAAATATAATCATAATGTAATTCTGCAAGTATAATTCTAATTTTCTAAAACCAAATACCAACAATAACCAATATCCAAAAATGTATCAATATTCTGAATGAGGAAGAATCCCACCTAACAATACAAATTCCTCTGAATTAGTAATCAGACTTTTACTGGCAGATTGATAGATACAGTTTTTTTTTACATTTTGAAATTTGGTCATTTTTCTTCTAGCCAAGGAGGAAAATGCAAGAGAAAATCTTTCATTAGTTATCTTTTTGGTGACCAATTAAATTCCCTGTACTTCATAGACCAATACTCTGATTGCTTTTATATTTCCAAATTTATGTGAAAAAGTGAAAAATAAAAATGACTGATATTAAGAAGTAAAATTTCCACCAACAAAGTACTCATCCTGAAGAATAATCTTAAATTAACTCCTATGCAGCAAAAATTGATTAGATTTCAGTTTCTTCCTCTTAATAGTAAAGGTGGTCTTAATGTATATAAGCCACAAGACCCCTTTTAGCTTCCAAACTTTGTTTTAGACAAGTATCTTAAAATGAACATGAAGCTTTACAGGAAATGTTTTAAAATTATCAGAAGTCTGCCATGTTTCAAATTACTAGTCTTTAATTAATTTGTTGCTAAAATATTTATTTAAATTCAATGGATTGTTTAGTTTTGATTATTAAACTAATCAATATAAGCAAATGAGTTATAATAACCACATCCAAATTTAGAAAGTTAAATAGTAGGAAAATGACTTATAAATGTGCAGCACACTATCAGTTGTTCTATTTTCATTAATTGTCATGTATCTTGCCATGTCCTTTATCTACTTGTGAATTTACAAGGAACACAGCAGGTTGTGAATTTTTAATAGGCTTTCCTCAAGGAAAGAAAAGGTCAGTATTAACATAAAATTCTTCTTAAAGATTTGTGGCACAAATGTTTCACACTGGAGAACAGGTGTTACTGAGGAACTAAAGCCTCAATAATCTGACATTTTTTTTCTATGTTTAAAGAAACTTTAATATCTCACATAATAAAATAGCACAAGGTCAAATCAATATAAAATTTATTTCAGGGTAGATACTATAAGTTTCTTGACACTTTTTTCTTCTCAATAACACAAACAACTGATTTTGTTTAACTAAATGTTTAATAAATCCAAGTGTTGATAACTAATATCTAAACCAAAAAGTAAGCGTAATGAGAAGACTGCAGTTATAAAAAATTAAATATTCTCTGATCTTTGCTTATTATAATAAGTGAATTGGAATGTAAGATAAAATTTATATTAATGAGGGAGAGAGACAACAGCAGGGTAAGAAGAGAAGAGATGCACAAAAGAAATAATTACGGTAATAAAGAGAAGCTTAAAAAATAGAAGCCTAAAAATTAATTTAGGCGGAGGACCATAATTAAAGAACTTTGTCCACTGGTCTTTTCCTATAACTTTTAGGAAATCCACATCATCGTCATACCCTTTACTAATTAACTCTTATCTCCCATCAGGTTTAACTAGAGTAAAAAGCAACTTGTCAAGTCTCAGAACATGTAAAAATGCATCTTTCTGCCTCATAGTATGTGTCTGTTTTATCTCTTTACTTGTCCAATTTTCACATATGTCTATTTAAATAATATTTTAATAAGCATAGACTAATGCAAAGCCCCCAGATATGGTCATTTTGTCCCTTTATTCTAGTGTTAGTGTTCCATTGTTTCCCTCTGTGAGAAAAGAACATGTTTTTTCTTTACTTTTATGCAAGTTCTTAGAATTCAAAAAAAATGTTTTCTGTCTGGTTTCTTAAAACCAACACTTATAAATTCATAGATCTAATTTGTTTCTCTTACATTTGAGAGGGAAGAAGTCTTTTCATTTCTGAATCATGAAACCAGCAGTCCAGCTTCCAACTGACATCTCTTTGATTCCCAGCTATCATGTTCAATTTTCTAATCCAACGGAAACTCCCCCAGTATGTGGTCCAATTACAAGATTTAATTTTCACTCTCTGTAGTATAAGTGAAGGTAAGAATCCTGCTGTGATTCATATTCCAAAACTGAGCTTTCTAAAAATTAAAATCTCACCATACTAGCAACTTCTTTTTTGTATGTCTAACTGATTAGAAGAGTAGAACTGGTCTTAATGATTCCCATCTTGCCTTATTTCCGTCTCCACTCTGAATCTATGTTCTATATTCATCCAATGTTCTTTATGAGATATAAAATTTGTAAAATGCAGAAAAAAAAATCCCCAGGTTTAAACCTCTGCTCCTTCTTTACCACGAAATTTGTGTGATATATATTTAAGGAAATCTACTCATTCCCATAAGCTAGTTTAGGGGACTCTCCTGTGAATTTCTATTACTGTGTTTGAATCCCCCATAGCATTAGGATGGAACTGTTGATTTCCGTTTAGAAAGACTTGATTCTTATGAGAGTAACTAAATATTTCTCAATTAAAATTGTTGAATGAATAGACAGTAAACACTGTAAATGTCTAAAAGACATCACAAAGTTTTCTGATGAGATGATTGGTAATATCAATAATCTTTTCTTGAACTATTTGTTTCCCAGACAGAACAAGAACTACGCAATGCTTATATCTGTCATTTGGAAAATTGAAGCTGTATTGCACATTCATATAATTGGAAAGTTTCCCAGCAACTATGTGCATTTTCAATTGCTAAAATGCTTCAATCTTGTAACTTTTTTCCCCTGGACAACACAGTCATATGTTACTTCTGAGAGCTGTTTTGTTAAACACAGATATTTCTTATTTCTCAAGCTTACTTTGTTGTTTATGAATAGCTAAAAATGCAGTAAAAAAGTATTTGTTACCTGACTTCTAGATCTTTTTCTCCAAAGCACCTATCCATTTGAGATTTTCTTTTTTCTGTTGTATCTGTAATAATGAGGTTTTTATCCAGAAATCAGGAAAATGAAGTTTGATCCAAATTTAATGGCTAAATGATGATTACTATAAATAATTAACTGAAAAATAAACTGCTTTTGTAGACCAAGTAGTAACCAGTAATGCAATATATTAGGGGGAGAGGAATTAAATATTTGTTTAATTTAAACAATTTTGATGTCCACTTAAAAATACTTTCATAGGCAAGTTCATTGACATAAGCTCCTATAAAGCAAAATGAACTTTCAAATAAGGGAAGAGATTCTACTTTAAAGAGAATATAATCAGTGTACTATTTCTACAGATAATTAGATAAAAATTTTTGCTGGTTTAAGTAAAGAGCAAAAACATCAAACCTATTTAGGTAAATATCTAATTCTATAATATATTGCATAATTGAAGGATATTGTCTCCAATTTTTATTTCTCTAGGCTGTAGGTAAGTATGCCTATTCTGATTAATGACTACATTTTATATGACTATTAAAAAAAAGCATGTAACCAATAAACTTATTTACAAAGCAGAAACAGTCTCACAGACATAGAAAAAAACTTATTGTAACCAAAGAGGAAGGAGGGAGAGGAATAAATTAGATATATGGGATTAATAGATACATACTACTATATATAATAAACAACAATGACTTACTGTCTAGTACAGGAAACTATATTCAATATCTTGTAATAACCTATAATAGAAAACAATAAAAAAGAATGTATAGCCAAGTTAATTTGCTGTATACCTGAAACTAAACTATATTGTAAAGTAACTATGAAAGTGAAAGGGAAAGTCACTTGGTGTGTCTGACTCTTTGCGACCCCATGGACTGTCCATGGAATTAGCCAGGCCAGAATACTGGAGTGGGTAGCCTTTCTCTTCTCCAGGGGATTTTCCCAACTCAGGGATCGAACCTGGGTCTCCCACATTGCAGACGGATTCTTTACCAGCTGAGCCACAAGGGAAGCCCAAGAATACTGGAGTGGGTAGCCTATCCCTCCTCCAACAGATCTTCCCAACCCAGGAATTGAACAGGGGTCTCCTGCATTGCAGGCAGACTCTTTACCAACTAGGCTATCAGGGAAGCCCAAAACTATACTTCAATTTTTAGAAAGACAACATGGACATGATGATGGCTAAGTAATACTACATGCTTTACCAAAACTTCAAAAACCTACACATTGTTTTTCTATTTCTTAGCAGATAAAAAGCAAAATATAAATTTTAAATGATAATCTCTTACTATAATCAAACCATGATCATAGCATTAAAAAAATGTTTATTGGTTGGGTGATACAGTTAGAGAAAAACCTACAATCCTTGTGTTTTACAGAGCCATGCTCTATTTATCCTATGGCTAAGTCTCTACCTTCAGGGGAAGAATTCTGGACAAGCAAGGGAGTTTTCATATCTGAAACTGGCACATCCATTTCCAGACCATGCTTGAAGTACTTGAGACTCATTATTCCCTGCCCAAACATCCTTTAACTTGCTTCTGGATCCTGAAGAGTCCTTTCTCCAGGTCAGGCTGCCAAAGACCAGATTTACCCGTTGCTATATGAAGCTTTCATCCTGAGGCTGGTCTAGTGTGAATTTGTTAAAAACAATATACAGTCACCCCTCCACAATTGTGAGCTCAGTGTCTGTGAAAAGTGAAAGTGTCAATCATTTCTGGCTTTTTGCGACCTCATGGACTGTATCCTACCAGATTCCTCTGTCCACGGAATTCTTCAGGCAAGACTACTGGAGTGGGTAGCCATTCCCTTCTCCTGGGGACCTTCCCAATCCAGGGGTTGAACCCAGGTCTCCTGCATTCCAGGCATATTCTTTACCATCTGAACCACCAGGGAGATTTAACCAATCACAGCTGGTAAAAATGCTGCACAATTCACCAGTGGTAGAATCCACGGATGCTCAGCCTATAGATAGATACTGAGGGCTGAAGGCTTCCCTGGTGCTCTGATGGTAAAGAATCTGCCTTCACTGAAAGTGACCTGGGTTCAATCCCTGGGTCAGAAAGACCCCCTGGAGGAGGGCATGGCAACCCACTGCAGTATTCTTGCCTGGAGAACTCCATGGACAGGGAAGCATGATGGGATAGAGTCAATGGGGTCGCAAAGAAATGGACATGACTGATGATGAATATACACATACACAGGACTTCACTGTGCCATTTTATGTCAGGATTCAAGAATCCTCGGAGTTTGGCATCCACTGGGATCCGGGAATCAATCCTCCATGGATACTGCAGGGCAATTGCAGATGCCTGGTGATTGCCAAATGATATATGGGCTCCTGGACAATATTAGGACTTGAATGGGATGTGCACAGGGCTGAATCCACATGAATACATGTAAAGCTCTTTGATGTAATGACTAGATTCTGGAAGATTAGTGTTGTTGCTCTGTATTGCATTGTTTCTGCATAAAACTTGCTTGAGCTTGTTAAAAAGATAGATTTGACAATGTAGGAAGCTAGATAAAGCATATATTATTTAATTATTTATTAGCTTGATTTATAGCTTTCTGGTGTTTTTATGTATTTCTGATTTATAATCTGGTGTTATATAGATATATATTCATACTCTTGTTCTGAACTCTACAAATATTTCTTGGGACAGCTGCTGTTTTTTGTATGAATCAAAGAATGATGGGTAAATTTTCTAATGTATCATTAGAACTGTGTCATGCAACTTTGCCTGCCCTACAATCCTTAAGATACTGTGAATTCCCCAACAGAAATACAGTAATTAATCATAAGTTTACAGGAGATAAATGCTGTGTATAATATGAGAGTAAAAGGATTTTCCATTCACAGCAAGAGATGAGAGCAGCAGTGTTTACATCAGCATATCAAGACAGATGACTTATGTCTTTGTCAGGAGTTATTTGTGTACAGAAATGGTTATTTACCAAGCTAAGCAAAGAAAGAAGCTGTGTTTGGTTTATTTTATTACTTTTTTCCATTTAGAATAAAAATCACACTGATATGGAAATGGCTAGTCCTATTGTTTAAAGTATATAGATGAGTGCAATCAGACTTATTCAACTCTCATTTCAAGAACTGAGATAACTGACCCCATTATTCAAGGATGGGACTTGAGAGACCTTCTTTGAATTCTTACTGCATTATGTACCTTTAGACATTATCATGGATATGCTCATTTTTATTTCCCCTAGCTTCATTCAGACCAAGATAAAGGAGATGGATCCCTCAAATATATTTTATCTGGAGATGGAGCTGGTACTCTTTTTATTATTGATGAAAAAACAGGTGACATTCATGCCACAAGAAGAATTGATAGGGAAGAAAAGGCCTTTTATACTCTACGTGCACAAGCTATTAACAGAAGAACTTTGAGGCCGGTAGAACCAGAGTCTGAGTTTGTGATCAAAATCCATGATATCAATGACAATGAGCCAACGTTCCCAGAGGAAATTTATACAGCGAGTGTTCCTGAAATGTCTGTTGTAGGTGAGTTCATTTACAACATTTATGGTGGCGTTCAAAAAATATAAAAAATAGTAATCAAGAAACTCTTAGAATATTATGGTCAATTAACTGAAGTCATCTTTGATTTCCTGAGTATGTACTTAATTTTATGAATAAAAAATGAGCCAGAAAAAAGATTAATGCATTTTTCACCTCCTATGGATTTGTACATTTCTACAATATAATAAATAGACACTTCCCTCAAAAATCCAAGAAAATACCATTGAACTTCAGTAGAAAACTATGAAAACATAAATGTTTGTTACATATATTTGGAGAATAGTTTAAAATTCTGACTCCAAATATATTATAAGTACACTTAGAACACCATAAATGCAATCTGGAGTCTTTATATGTGTACTGTCGTTGTAATTTGTCTAAAGAGTTTGTATTACCAAGATGACATGAACAATGAAATTAATTAGATTTTCTATTACTTCATATTAAATATTTTAAAATATTTCACTATAGCCATTATATATAAAACTTTCCTGATATAAATCTCTTATTCAAATGAACCAGTTAAAAATCAACAGCTAATGACAAATGGATACAGAATTACAAAATAAAGTTGCAAAAGCTGTGAAACAGAATGTGTGATAAAACTGGAAGTATAACATTCAAGAAAATAGAATTTGCTTTTCAATAAATAAATAGAAATTGTTGGTAGGCAAAGAAAATTAAGACTGATTTCATTTCTTTGTTAAATAAAGAAGCACAGAAAAGTAAATATCAGGAAACAATGATAACATTTTTAGAGATATGTATTCGGATTTAGTAAAATAGATTCATTTCTCAAATGTAAGAGAAGTAAACTGATGAAGTAATTCTGATACATTTTCCTTGTAACAATTATAATAGAAAATGTCATACTGCTTTTCTCAAAAGCATTGTTCAGGGATTATTATTTAATATTTACTTCACTAAATCCCAAGGACTTTTGGCAATCACCTTAATATAAAGCCTTTTATATATTTTGAACTTTATTAAATAGCTTTTAATAGTTCATGGGACTTGGGATCATCTTGGATTGTTTCTAAATTTAGAATTTAATCTATTCATAAAACTGTATTCTGGAGCAGATGTTAATTATTTTTATAGTTAATTAGTGGAGAGAGGGAAAGAAAAGCATCCTTACTCCTTTGTGATTAGATATGCCCTTTACACGAAACAAATCTATTATGTGAAAGTGAATTTAAATACCAAACCGGAGCATTTGTAAAGTGTCTGCCTTTAGTATAATCTGATACACTGTCAGCATTATCTATTACATGAATGAAATGCACCTGTTGGCTAAATAAAATACCTTGTTGAATTCAAAGTTTACCTGTAATAACTCTCTCTATATTTTTTCGTCTAAATTATATACAAATGTTTCTTTAAGAGGTAGCCAAAATCATTCAAGTCTTCCATGAAAACCAGTGCTTTTGCTCCTTCTGGTACTGTGCAGAACTAAGCTGAATTTGGATACTTCAGGTACTTCTGTGGTGCAAGTCACAGCTACAGATGCCGATGACCCTTCGTATGGGAACAGCGCCAGAGTCATTTACAGCATACTGCAAGGGCAGCCATATTTCTCTGTGGAGCCTGAAACAGGTCAGGAATCATGAATCAGGGTTGATTTATTTAATAGTCTCTATGATTGTTATCAGTTTTTAAAGAAAGGAACAACACTTTAACATTAATACTCACATAAGAGTGATGATGCCACAATTAAAGATTTAAGAACTCAAAGCTGAATGATTGCGCAAACTAATGGGAATATACCTGCTTTTCTATTTTTCCATCTGGGTTTAGGGCACTAGACAGCATATATGACAATCTTTAGAAAATAGAAGAACCAAACAGATTGGAAAATATTTACTGAGAATCATTTTATAATCTCTAGACAATAAAAAGCAATGGAGAAAACATTTTTGTTTTTCAAAAATCACTACTTTGTATTTGCCATTTGTGAGCTTAATCAAATAACAACTGAGATTTTAATAACCATAATAAAAGTTTTTTTTTTTTTTCTTCAAGGTATTATAAGGACTGCTTTACCAAACATGAACAGAGAAAACAGGGAGCAATATCAGGTGGTAATCCAGGCCAAAGACATGGGCGGTCAGATGGGAGGCTTATCGGGGACCACCACGGTCAACATCACGCTGACAGACGTCAACGACAATCCCCCGCGCTTCCCCCAGAGTAAGTTTTCTTTAACGGCCTTTCTGCAGGGCAAAAGCTTGAGAGTGAAAAACGAAAAACGAGAAAGCAACTGTCAATCATTTCATTTAAAACGGATTGAAATATGCTACAAGGATGAAGAAAAAGATGCATATGCTGATGAATTCATTGCTATTAACAGATAAAAATAAAATATTTCAAACATATTTCTTTCAGAGACAGAGGGCTCTATGATCATAAACTCTCTCCATATATATATATATGTACCTATATGTTCTACGTCCATGATTACCATCTAAGAACTATTTCTATCAGTTAGCAAAGTAAATATTTTATTTAAAAAAAAACAAAAAAAACTAAATTATACTTTCCCAATGATTGTGTTTATTTCTACTTAGAATTTAATAAGGAGGATTCTAATTTGAGGATTAAATATTTCAGTAAAATATCTAATTTTTCATATTATAAAGACTTAGAACAACAAAAAAAGACCTAGCCGAAAAGAACTACATAGGGAGAACCTTACAAACTAATCAGGCTTCCATTTACTATCACTATGCTAGGCTTCCATGCGTTTGGAATAGCAATCTTACTAAAACAGTTTGTATTCTGATTTATTTATAGATTTATGTTGTGGTTTAAAATGGATCCTTCAAATTCTCGAAACAGGTCAGGAATAGGTTAAGAACCATTAGCATCTGACTGTATAATTACATTTGTTTATTCTTTTTTATACAAATTTGGTAGAAAACATGCAGCTAGAGCAGATGATACTGGATCTCAGAGGACACTGCCAAGACTCAGTCAATTTCCTGTTAATCTAAAAGACTCTTTATTTCAAGATGGATGCTCACATTGTTAGGAAATGTGGTATAAAACAGAGGCTTTGGGATGATTTATGTTTTTAATTTTTAACATTTGCTGCATATTAACTTCTAAATTGATCTCCCAGTTTTAGCTTTTTGTTTTTAATTGCCTTACGTAACTTTGCGTTAAGGTATTAAAACATAAAAAGCAATAGCTTTACGTGATATTTATATGTTTATGCTAAAGACCATTACACAGAAAGAATTATAGTCTAAGAATTACTGTGTTGTTTTGACTCTTTAGAAGCATTTCACCTCTCTTCTTGTACCAGTTTTATCTAACTTTGACTATTAATAGTGCATGATTTTAATTGAATTGCTTAAAATCATGTATGTTGAAAGATTATAAAATTCATATAGAATAATCTTGAGTGAGCTTAATCATATCCTCATGTATTTTTGATGATATATTTTTAGATATTTAATTTACATGTCCCTCAGCCATTGCTATTGTGGTGTTTGACCCCAAACACAGAAGGAAGTGTGTCTGCTTATGCTGTTTTCCAATTATCAAGCCTCAGCTTCAGGGTAATTTTAGTATTGGCAGGGGAAAGAAAATCAAGAATAAATCTTTATGGTTCTTTCAGATCAGGTCTAAAGACATGCCCGTGCACTAAAACTTAAATTTCACATTTTACATTTCTGACCACCTCTTACCGTGAGCCTCTTACCAAGAGAACAGAATACAAATCTGAAAAAACAAACTGTAACTAGCTACACAATCCACAATGAGCAAAAGTATTTGTGAGAAAAGTATTTTGAGTAAAAGATGACCATTAAGAGGATTGTTAAATTTTATTTTTAATGTTAATTAATTAATTTATTTGGCTGCATCAGGTCTTAGTTGCAGCATGTAGGCTCTTCCATTTTGGCATGCAGGCTTTTCTCTGGTTGTGGCCCATGGGCTTAGTTGCCCTGTGTCATGCAGGATTTTAGTCCCCCGAGCAAGGATTGAACCCATGTCAACTGCTCTGGAAGGTGGATTCTTAACCACTGGACTAGCAGAGAAGTTCCAGGATTATTAGAGTTTCACTTCTCAAGAACATATATGCACATGTGTCCAAAATACACATCCTATTTAAAAATGATGCATTTGATAAACAAATTAATAGATTCTAATTAAATGGAAAAATAGACATTTGAACCGATGAAAATATCCAGTAAAATCCATTGTATCATTTTTCTTCTACTACAATACCTTTATTAATTCATTCACTGATTACGTTGTTTTCTTTTGTTTAGTCAGATTTTGTGGTTGGTATCTGGTAGGCATATTACATAAGCCAGGGTATAATAACAATAGTAATAATAATAAAATAATAATAATGAAAAGAAAGAGCATAGCATGTTTTCTGAATAACGTTTTCATTTCACCACACATCAAGTTACTTATTAACCTACTTTATTTTATCAGAACCCACTGAGGTTAGTATCTGATCTCCATTCTACAAATGAGAAAATGAATGTTATAGACATTAAGGATGAACTGTAAGTAATGGCAGAGGTGGTTTGAAATTCATGCCCAACTCCAGATGTACAACATAATATGTTAGAACAAGTTTTAGAGCATCCTGTATCTTGTCTCATTACTTTTTAATTATAAATGGAAATATAATTTATGGATTTTTATTTTCTCAATTATCTTTTCTCTTATGAATATTTGCAACCACATCTTACTATTGGGAACACTCAGTCATGGCAATTAGAATGTTACTTGATAGTCTAAGTTACCTAACATGCAGAAAACTAGTTTTTAATTTCTCATCTCATTTCATTAAATAGCCAGTGTTTGGCAAGAGCTCCACAGGTTATGAAGACCTTCATATGTAGCATATCATTGACACTCACAAGTTACTTGTATGCACACATTGCTATTATTATTATACCCAATATACAGAAGAAGTAAAGGAGGTTCAGAGTGGAAATAATAAAGAGAACAAACTGGTACTGCCTAATAAAAATAGAATGCAAATCAAGATTGTGTGCCACAAATGTAATTTTAAATTGTCTATCAACCATACTTAAAAAATTAAAATAAGCAGGACATATTAATTTTAATCATATATTTTAAGCCAATATTATCCTTTAAACATATCATTAATATAAAACTTATGCAGATGTTTTACATTCTTTTGTCACATAAATTTTTGAAATATCCTCTTTCATCAAGTGTTTTCCAGTTATTTCAAACTCAAGCCAGACATTTGCAATCAATAACTGCATGAGGGTAAGTGACTTAACTGGTGTCTGCTATATGAGACAGTTTAGGACAGACTATGGAGTCATTCTTATGAGCCCAACTCTGTCTTCATTTGTAAGTTTTCTCACCTTGGTCCATTTGAATGACCTCTTAATAGAAGGTGCCATTCCAGTGCCATTCAGTAAAACTGGAAGGCAGTGCATACCCCGTGGAGTGGTAAGACCAAATAATTTTAAGTATATGAAGTACTTGACTCAATGGCTGGCTACTAGTGCATTTATGTGTTCAATTATGTTAATGTGTGTAAGTACTGCTCTATTTTTATTATTATCTAATATTATAAAGGTAGGGTTAAAATTTAAACTTCCAGGCAGGTTAATCCAAGTTCAACATTTTCTAATATGGTACATCTATAGGAGATAAAAATCTTAGTCATTTGGAAGGAACAGAAACAGATGAAAGCCCACATGTCCTTCATTGTTTATCTTGTTTATTGTGTAAATCTGTAAAAATTGTTCTCAATCAGAGACAGTTTTGTCCCCCAAAAGATATTTAACAATATCTTAAGACATGTTTGTTTGTCTCAGCTGGTCACTATTACAGGTATCAATTGGATGTAAGCTAGAAATGCTGCTAACCATCCCTGCAAGTCACTTGACACAAAAATTATCTGACCCAAAATGTCATCAGTAGTGAGGTTGAGAAACTTTGATATTATTTGAGTATCTCTTCAAGTGAAATCAGAAATTTTTTTATTTAAAAATATTTATTGAGACGCTCTTTTTCCAAACACTATTGTAAATATATATATATATATGTGTGTGTGTGTGTGTGTGTGTGTGTTTGTTCCTATGATCTTTCATTAAGATGGGAGAGGCAAATGATACATAAGAAAAACAAAAATCAGTTATACATACACAGTATTCGCTCAGTTCTGGGTAAAAAGAGAACATGAGTGTTCCAAGGGGGACGATTAGGGAAGATCTTGGTCATGAGGTGATATTTCATCCAATCACTGCAAAATGTAATAGTTCACAGTGGTAAAGGATCTGCCTGCCAATGCAGGAGATGCAAGAGACAGGTTCAATCTCTGGGTAAGGAGGATACCCTGAAGTAAGAAATAGCAACCTGCTCCAGTATTCTGGCCTAGGAAATCCCATGGACAGAGAGGCCTGGTGAGCTACAGTCTGTGGGGTCACAAAGAGTTGACATGAGTGACTGAGCACACACACACACACACACACACACACACACACACACACACACACACACAAAGGTGGGAACGTCCTTCAAGCAAAGGAAACAGCATATGAGCAACTCTGAATTGGAAGTTGAATGATGTTGAATGGAAGTTGAAGATCAAGAAATGTGGTTGGATCACACCAAACAACAAGAAGGTTGCTGGGGGAATAGATCAGCAAGCCCTGCACTCACAGAAACATTGGCAATAGTGAATTATTATTGCAATTAAAAAAAATAAATAAAACAGCCATATGTGTGATCTAAGTTATCATTATGCTCTTGGGGCTCTAGAGGTATATAAGCATCTGAGCATTGGTAAGGCATGTGTATCTTAGCATGTTTCTAAAAGAGAAGCAATGGATTAGAAGGTTGAGGTGCACCTGAAAAATGAGTTCCAAAAGTATTTTAAGATTTTTCTCCAGACAGTAAATTGTATTTTCACTACCAAAACAATGTATCTGTTGGAATTATTTCTGAATTCTAGGTTGTTTCAAGTGACTTTGATTTTAAAAACAATTAGTGGAGAAAAAAAAAAATATTGCTTTCCTTCCGATGATAGGCATGGTGCTTGCAATTAAGTGTATGAGGGTTAATAAGTTTTTGTTACCAGAAAGGGGTTTTTTTCAGGACCTGAGAGTGGGCTCTTGACTAAC